CACACACACACACACACACACACACACACACTCTCTCTCTCTCACACACACACACACACACACACACACACACACACACACACACACACACACACACACACACACACACACACACACACACACACACACACACACACACACACACTTTTATCATGTTTTTGTTAACATTTGGGCAATTTAGCGGCATTTAAAGTTAGCCGAAATTGGCAGATTACACGTTGATATGAAGACAATCATCACTGGATGCATTTGATACTGAAGAAAAACACACCATGTAGACAAACGTACACACACACACACCTTACTGTTTTTAACCTGATTGAATTGTGAGGTGACCTTAGGTGTAATGAAAGACGCCTCCAAAATAGAAAGTACTGTTATTATTATTATTATTATTATTATTATTATTACCTTCTTCTTGGCGGGGTTGTTGACGCTGGCCAAGGCGATGAAGCGGCTGACGTGCTGAGCGTTCTCCTGCAGAACAACGTGATTCCTGAAACACACACGCACACGCACACACACACACACACACACCAGAGAAACTATGAAGTAAGGATTCATCAGATCCGTATTGTGGCATGATGAATATGGACAGGTGTTCCCCCCAGGTGAGCAGCTACCTGTAGGGCAGCCTCTCGTAGTGAGCCCCCTCCAGAGCAGCGAAGTGGTATCTGGGCTTCAGGTGATCCGCCAGGTTAGCAACAGAACCGCTGCCACAGAACTTGGTGTTCACTTCCTGAAACACACAGGAGGAGAACAACAGCAGGGGGTTAGGGGTCATGTTTTACATATTGCGCTTCGGTTACATTTGAGATGATTCGCTCTATCCTAAGGGCTTGTGTTAGAAGAATCTCACTCGTCCCCAGTTTGAGCTTGAATCTCAGAATCCATGTATCTGTGATCTCTCCAGAATGGAAGTAGTCATCACATACAGAGCATCAACTAGTTCCTGAACAGTGTCCTTCACATGCTGATATCCAAGAGAGGGAGTTACACAGCCACAAGATGGAGGAATACCGGTTCTTCTAGTAATCATACATCCTGTCATGAACAAAACACTGACATTTTTCTCAAAATGTTGTTTTTTTTACTATTTCTCAAAATTATGTATTTTTTCTCAAAATCTCAAAATCATGACTTTTTCTCAAAATCATGACTTTTTCTCAAAATCTTGAAATTCTCTCTTTATTTCAAAATCCCCAAATCCTGTATTTTTTCTCAAAATCCTGTATTTTTTTCTCAAAATTCTGACTTATTACTCAAAATCAAAAAAGATTCTGACTTTTTATTTAAAATCAAAAAATTCTGACTTTTTACTCAAAATCTCAAAATTCTGACTTTTTACTCAAAATCCTGACTTTTTACTCAAAATCTCAAAATTCTGACTTATTACTCAAAATCAAAAAATTCTGACTTTTTACTTAAAATCAAAAAAGATTCTGACTTTTTATTTAAAATCTCAAAATTCTGACTTTTTATTCAAAATCAAAAAATTCTGACTTTTTACTCAAAATCTCAAAATTCGGACTTTTTACTCAAAATCTCAAAATTCGGTGCTTGTGTCTTCATATGTCTCTCTCCATAGAGGCTGAATCATCATGTTAATCACATAGCTATCATATGCCTCAAACAGTCCTGATGCTCTTCTAGGTAATCACACATCCTGTCATGTTCACAGCTACAGTTGGGATACCTTTGTTACCATGGTAATCTCATGTTGAGAGGACATGCTGATGAAAAAGCAGAGAGGAGAGACTCACTGTGCGCAGCCGAAGGGCCGCACGTCGGGGCGAGGCTGATGCTTCTTCAGATGTTTGCTCAGCGCTGAGGCTCGGTGGAACGTCGCTCCACACGTGTTGCACAGGTACTTTGATTCACCTGGGGCAAATAGGATGGAGGAAATACTTTCATTAAAATCAATGAACTACACCGTACATTTAGTTTGTTCTATCTCATGGCTTTTTGATGACTTTAAGTATTTGATTATATGTAAATGTATTTGTTGGAGCGTTCCTTTGCTTTTCAATGTTCCTTTCTTGTCAAAGGGAAAACAAGCCAAAGCTATTAGGCTCTCTCTCCAAATGAATTACTTCCTTAAGACAATACAAAACACAATTTCAAGAATGTTCAAAACACCACACAACATTTTAAAACTCTTTAAGGACATCCAGCACGTTTACAAAAGCTGTCTGTTCATTTTGTCTCAATGATTGATTTTATGTTGAGAACTTTACTGCATTGTTACTTTTATACTTTTAGTTTAGTGTTGTATTTATTTCTGCTCTCTATTTTTAACAAAGATTCAATATGTGGGAGGCTGTGGCAGTGGGGCAGTGCGCTGATCTTCAGATCAGGCCAATCAATCAATCAATGGTTATTTATATAGCCAAATATCACTAATGTTACATTTGTCTCAGAGGACTTCACAGTTTGTACAGAATATCAGTATGACAACACGACATCCTCTGTCCTTAGACCCTCTGTCCTTACACCCTCTGTCCTTACACCCTCTGTCCTTAGACCCGCGAAAAAACAAGTTGAAGTCCCGCTGCAGTCAGCATGTCGTTGTGTCCCTGAGACACTTCACCCTAAATTGCTCCTGTGGGGATTGTGCACAGTATTGAGTATGTAAGTCTGTTTGGATAAAAGCGTCTAACAAGTGACATGTCATGTATGCACTATTAAAGGTTCAACTGTTGTGATTGGTCAACCAGTTTAGAGATGTCCCGCCCCTTAGCCAATCACGTACAATGTGTTGGAGCGCTAGCCAATAGGAGTACGAGTTTTCCTTAGTGATGTCACTATGTGCTGGAAGTAAACAAAGGAGTACAATGTCAGAGTTTCTGCCAGTCTACATATTAGGTTTTGTTTGGGATCCATTTGAACCTTTCTGAAGCCGATGCAGGAGCACCTACTATAGGCGCGTTCAC